AAATTGCATATTAACTTGAAGGATCTTGGGCATGCCGAACCGACAATTTTACTGAGTTTTCCTTAGGTTTAATGCGAAAATCAGACGAATTTTTGATAAAAATTCCATCTGTACATTTTTGTAAAATAGATAATTTTTAGAGTCAGTTTGGTATAACCTTGGAATGTTGTTACGTATCTTCGTACGGGAGACGACGGTTTGGCACACTTAAGTTTGTGTCAGAGGCAACGGCGTTTTCCAGTCGTAGAACGCAACAAAAAATGTTAACATTTATCCTTGACCTCAACGTTCCGTGAAATCGTTCGAAATGTTGGGAGGTGAAGCTCAAAACTAACAAGTATTTCAAGAAATACTCGTTAAACGTTTCATAATGACAAGGAGCCTTGTAGCGAATCACAAGTTCAAACTCATTTTTTGATATAAAAAAATTGGCTTTTCGTAAAGAATTTTTCACGTATTATATTTCGTTTTAGTTCAAAGCATTTTTTAAAAGCTCGATTGCTTTCAAAAACTGCACGTATGCGCTTTGCCACCTAAGCCCCTCAATTTATTTCTCTAAATTTTTAGGCAGAAAACGTTACAATCCTCGTCCGTCCCATAATTTTCCCGGAGGCTCGCCGTTCCGAAAAGTGCGGAAATAAATATCGGGAAGAAAAGTCGCCGCAGTCTAGCCACGTCTTGAGTCTCGACAAGAAGTAATCCAAGCATTAGTGGATGCGATTTCCGACGCACTCATCATCGCGACGAGAGAAGGGGGCGTCGCGACTCCGAAAAGGGTGGGTTTCGTCGCTCCTTCGATGTAAAGCCACAACTGCATCTTCACGCGAACCATGAACAGCATGGAGTTATACGAACGATAGGGCTCATCTCGAATCGCTATCATACCTTTATCGCAGTGGAGCGACGATTTTTCCGGCAAGGAGACGAGGCGGAAATCTCAGACCAAAGAGGAGCAATGGGCGCGAGGGGTAGGCGGGGAGGCAAAAATATACCGTGATTATATATGGAAAAGGAGAGGATAATAGGCATCTGCTAACACTCCCACGAGCTCGAGATAACAGGATTTGAGTTATCACGCCACACCGCCCCCCTTCTCCTACGCTTCCAGGGGGGAGGGGCGGCTCGGAACCACCCCTCCGCATCGTATCAATGAACAAATTATATGATTTGAGATGTTAACTCGCTAAATTATTTATATCAACAGTTTCCAATTGAGTGAAAAGAGATCTCGTCTCCTTTTCAATTTTGGCGTCTGCCGCACCGCACCGCTCTTCGCCCCCCCCTCCCCCGCGCGCTGTTTGCGGTCCCGATTTCATGACCTTCACCCCGTTTTGCGAAACGCGGGTCAATTTCCGCACCTTACAACGTGTCGAGCTCAATTGATCTCTGCCAAACGGAGAAAAAATTTTGGTATTTGAACCGAAGTTTCCGACACCTGGGCCGTGTGAATAAAAAGAAAGAAATCAAAGGCAACTCCCTTCCAGAGAAAAGGAAAAGAAAAGGAAAACATTTCAGCAATTTTTGGCTTTTTTTCCACACTGCATCTCCGAGAAACACTGTTTCTACCAGGGTACCTGTTTTATTATTAACATATTTAATAAACGTCACCATCATCATTCTCACCGGTCACCATGTAGTATTATAGCATCAAAGCTGAACCCGTCATTTCCCAATTTAATCTTCAATCTTGACCAATCATTTCCGATACCGCATGGTTTCTCATTTTTTACGTGTACTTTTCTCTTCTTTTTTTTTTCGTAAAACCACTTCTCTCTTCCTATGACCACCTCGAGGACTCGCAGGGGGTCTGACACTTTTGACAATCACCTTGTTTTCATTTTATTTTTCGCTTCTCTCTCGCTTTTCCAATCCCGTCCTCTTAAGTCCCTGATTTCTTTTAGTTCCTTTAGCTGTTTAGCCATTGTAACTCCCCCTCCTCCCCCCAAGGCCCCTCTGGCACTCTAACTCACCGATATTTTCTTTAGTATTACTCAATTTTACCCAACGACTGAAGATGAATTGTATTAAGCCGTCCGGTGATTGCGTTGCAGTGGCGAGGCATGAACGATCGATCATCGATATTTCCCCATTTGAGGCTGTGGTAAAGAATCGATTATTCAGGTTTTGCGAGCACCCCCTGTTTATCGATACTTTTCCATAGGTGGAAATGGCAGATCAATCGATTTATCGCAAAGCACGCCACGCCACTATGCGTGTGCGGTACCGAAAGGTAACAGAAAATCCTACTTTAATTTCCAGTATAGAAGGAAAGCCCTGGAGGTTCTCAAGCTCTCAATAGAATTGAGTATGATGTGCCCGGTCAAAAAGGGGGAGAAACATAGATTGGAGAAGTAGTCCAAAGACCCGGAAAATGGAACCGGATTTCCCCAGGAATGCGAGCGTCATTGGTCGGTATGTTGACCCGCGGCTCCGCGGCAAACATCAGCATCATGTAAGGGGTTATGACGGCGAAAAATGCTGCAAGTCTGTCTCCGGAGATCGCGTCATATTTAAAACAGGCAGACAAGGAAAAGCGGTCTCCAGAAACATCTGACGCGGATGTTGGCTGTGGCCTAAAAATGGATTCGCGCAATTTAAGGACGGCTCTAGAGAATTCAGTTTGATAATTAAACAACATTTTTGTCGGCGCTTCTGAGAAATTGCAAAACCTTTCACTCTCTTTAGTTTCAGCTTTACATATCTTGCGCTGCTCTCTGCGAATTCTACAACTGTCGCGACGAAAATTATGCATTCATCGCTCATTCATAATCATGATGCATATTCATAATCAATATTTATTCGAGAGGGCTCTAAATTTTAATTTTAAAGTAAAATGGCACTGCGGAATTATCCGCTTGGATTTCTTCAGACTGCGTCAAGAGTAAAAACTTTAAGAGACATAGATAGACAAACCTTGAAGTGCTTTACTTTCCTTTATGAATCATCTGATGATACCTGTTTTTTATGGGTGCACTCGTTAAGATTAAGATAATTCGTCAGAGAAATAAATTAGGGTGAGAATTCTTAAGCGCATAACATTGAACATTCAATCAAATTAAAAGATGAGAAAAGAGGGATCTAGAATTAAAACGGAATACAGCAAGTTTTATTCTTTTTCCAAGCCATGCCCTCAAGGCAGTAGAAAAAATATCGAAGTACAGGCGTTTTTATAATAATATTAAGATCATAACCTTTTTTTCATGATTTATCGTACATAATATCAAATTTCAAACATGTTTAGCTCCTCTTTTGTGAGATTCTATCACAGCTTTCTTTTCATACCTACTGTTGCAAAAATTTATAAATAAATAATCAAATTCGTTAAAGAGCGACGCCAAAAACGACTGTTTTTTGGCACAATATGGGCCAGAAGGGATTTTTCTGAAACCGGGCCCAAACGATACCTTACGATACCCTAAAACTCTGGTTAAAATTTTAGCTTGAGTATACGCACGGTTTTTGAGAAATGAGGGGGCAATGTTGCCAAATCGCCATCATTCTGGACAGCATTTCTACAGCAAAAAGACGAGAAAAATGGACGAAAAAGTTACACCTTTGATGGGTTTCGGCTGTAAATGTTCTCATTGGGCCCCCAAGCATTAAACCGTGTTCAGTTTCAAAAATTTTGGTCGCACAGTGGTCCATAATGGGGAGCAATCGTCGACAAATCAGGATTCTTGGTCAAATTTTTAGAAATGGAGGTAAAATTGTCGGTCTGCTGCAGTTTTCATGGCTAACAATGTTCTTATCGGTCATCAATGCATGAAATTGTGTTCAGCTTCACAAATTCACATCGCACAGTGGTCAAAAATGGGGGATTTAGTGGACAAATTAAGATCCTCTGTCAAACTTTTTAAAAATGAAGTGAAACTGTTGGTCCCCAGTAGACTTTAGATCCCGGAAAAATTCTTTAAATTCTTTTTTAGACTATTTAAATATTTTTTTAATGTTTTCTCTCCATTTTTCCTTCTTTTTTTTAAATTTCTGAAAGTTTGCATATTTTATTGAGATAATGCTACAAAGTCTATTCTATAACAATGTTCTATAAACAATACGGTCTGAAATGTAGTAATAATTTAAAAAATTAAAAACATGATTTTTCCGGGATCTAAAGTCTACCGGGGACCAACAGTTTCACTTCATTTTTAAAAAGTTTGACAGAGGATCTTAATTTGTCCACTAAATCCCCCATTTTTGACCACTGTGCGATGTGAATTTGTGAAGCTGAACACAATTTCATGCATTGATGACCGATAAGAACATTGTTAGCCATGAAAACTGCAGCAGACCGACAATTTTACCTCCATTTCTAAAAATTTGACCAAGAATCCTGATTTGTCGACGATTGCTCCCCATTATGGACCACTGTGCGACCAAAATTTTTGAAACTGAACACGGTTTAATGCTTGGGGGCCCAATGAGAACATTTACAGCCGAAACCCATCAAAGGTGTAACTTTTTCGTCCATTTTTCTCGTCTTTTTGCTGTAGAAATGCTGTCCAGAATGATGGCGATTTGGCAACATTGCCCCCTCATTTCTCAAAAACCGTGCGTATACTCAAGCTAAAATTTTAACCAGAGTTTTAGGGTATCGTAAGGTATCGTTTGGGCCCGGTTTCAGAAAAATCCCTTCTGGCCCAAATTGTGCCATTCTTGGCGTCGCTCTTTTGAATGTATTAAAGGAAGCCTGTGACGCTTGAAACTTTCATACACCCGAAAATTTTTTAGGGTTTGATTTTCAATCCCTTCATTTTTTTATTTGTTTTCATTTTGAAAGTATGAAGAAAAATTATGTCACGTAGTGTTTTGACTCTTTGTAACCTTCCCATGGAGTAAGTTCCGAAATAATCTGTATCCATATTACACGATCAGTCTTCCTCTGTCAATATTCTTGTGTAATTTTACAGTATCAGTGTCCGTGCAATAGTGCATGGATAAATTCCATGAGTCTATCATCAACTATTTAGTTTAATTTGGTGTTGTCATTCTCTTTGTTTCAGCCTTGAATCCTAGAAAACAGAGGCGAGAGCGGACGACGTTCACGAGGGCGCAGCTAGATATTTTAGAATCCTTGTTCGCAAAAACTAGGTATCCAGACATATTCATGCGGGAGGAAGTGGCATTAAAAATTAACTTACCCGAATCTAGAGTCCAGGTAAATATCCTCACTATACTTACATTATACTAATATTATACCTATATATATGACATATCAGTACCTTATGTCTGTGTTCCTTGAAGATGCTGTTAGAATTTAGACATACGCTTGGAAATCTTGGATTGAAATATCTAGTGTATTTTACTCCGGTCCTTATTTTGCCTCCAATAAACTCGAGTGGTAAGAATTAGGAGTGCTGTCTAATATCTGTTCTGCAAAAACACAATTAATTTCTAAAAAGAGTTTATTCCGGTTCGTCAGACCGGCGTTTTAATCTTATGTGGGTCTATTTATGCTAAAAAGAACTATGCTAAACCACATGCACATAGCGCATTTTAGCCTAAATACATCTTTATAGACGTGACTCGCTCTCAAATGTCATGGAGCACAATATTCTCAGGTGTACGATGCACTCTACATTTCACTTCGAGATCGCTAACACCACGGTGCCACACGTATTCACGTAACTGAGATTCTAGGCGCTTGACCTATTTTCAAACTTATCATACCGGACAATGAAGTATAGACAAAGCACGAAAAGACGAAGTAAGATAATTTCTCAAAAAAAGAGACATCTCAAGACTCTACTTTGAGCTCTTTTGCTCTTTTTTTTTTTAAATACAAAATCCAGAGGAATAATTCAGACATTAAACTGAAGAAAAAAAGGAAAAATTGGAGGTCAACAGGAAATAAACAACCGGGCCTCGTTTCGGAATCCGAAGGACACCTCATTGACAGCAAAGAGCGTAGCATTGCAAGTTCCCGCCTCGCGCCATCCCGCCTTCAATTTTGCAGATGCAACACGGACATCCATCAAGCACGAATAGTTGTATCTCTGCGCCGTCGGCAACGCGCGTTCTTTATCTTGCTCTATTTCCATGTTGTGATGGTTCCGTTTGCCTCATTTATATATAGTGGTGCTTTCAGAGCAAAGAAATATTGTTCCTATACTCCATTCCTCTCCGTGGTAGTAGTTTTTTCTTACTGCAGATTGCTGGAAAAAGAACGTGTACAACAGTGACAGAGAACTGTCCGTGTACCTGCGATTCCGCCTTCAAATTTTGTGGTAGGCAAGAGAGCATCCTCCGTCTAGGATTAGGAATAGTCGTCTATTCGAGAATTCGTAATTCACACTGCCTCACTAGTAAATTATGTTGAGCACCATCGAACGTTTTAGATACAAGCTGTATGTGTATCTCTATTCAATCCTTGTTTGATGGTAGATACTCATATATCGACCGCGTCAAGCAGAAATCACATCGGCTATTGCCAAATTTAACTGGGCAATTTAATTTTTTACAGGAAAACAGTTGTGTGGATTTTTGTGCAAATTCCAGTGAGTTTTCTGCACATTACGAAGGCAATTCCTTAAAATTTTCAAAGGAATCCTATCAAACGTTCTCTTGTTTAAAATTACATTGCCCATTTTATTTTGGCAATAGCTGATGAGGCTTATTTCCTTTCTGCTAAACGTGGTCCATATAATGTGAAAGTATTGGTTTTTTGGGGTTTTTTTTTTTGGGGGGGGGGGAGAAAGTAGTATTTCCCAAGCTTACGTGCAGAAAGCGCCTCTGACTGACAATGAGATGTTAAAAGAGAAAAAAAATTAAAAAAAATGGACGATAAGGTGCAGGTCTCGTGTGATCCGGGTTGTTGGGTCAAAAGACATGTTTTTCATCAGAAATATTACGAGGTGTAAAGTGGGGATTATGCGCTGAGACTCCTCAAACAAGGCTGGCCGATTGCAAGCGAGGCGTCGTCAAAATCAACACGAATACGTCCGGTGAATGTTGAATGTTGACATTGTCGCATCTCCAAACAACTGCCAATTGTACACGTTTATACATCGAGCGTGTTTCAATCAACAAGTAACTTGCAGGCTCCGGGCCGCGTATAATCGTCCGTGTTGATTTAGGATCGGAGAATGCTGCCCTGAGGTTATGCCAGCAATTCAGGACTTCCGAATTTCATCAAGAATCCATCCAACTCCTCTTCGACGAACAATACTGCCTATTCTTGCGCGATCGTCGGTTTTGTCGACACAAAGTAAACATTCTTCGATGTCTGCCTGTGTCATTTTTTTAAACGTTTCTTTTAACTTTCTTTTGTCGCGGAAACAGTTCGTTCATATTCCCAGCCGTAACAGAGCTTGGCTGAATCATTATCGAAAATATGTTCACGTTCCTCCTGTTTGCGTAAGTTATTTTACAGTGCGAATTATAAAAGGATTCTTTTTTAGAGAAAAATAAACGGCGGCATGTTCTTAAAAACATTCGTTCTGAGAAGTACGGATCGAGGAATATCTCCAGTGCATTTATGTAGGATCCTTGTCTCGAACCCAAATTATCTCTTTGATGAACACAGAGTTTGTTTCGAAACATGGCTAATATTCAGGTTTACTAAAATTACAATATTATGAGAAGAAGGGGGGAAAGTTCACCTGAAGTTGATCGATTGCAAAGCTGTGAAAGCTATATTATCATTTGCTACGTTGGAGATCGTCTACTACATTTTACTTCATGAATGATGACTTATCACCTTGCAGCTGAAGGAAACTAGAGGGTTGCTGGAATGGATGCAACGCTGTTTTGTGCATGAAAAAATAAAAAATCCTCATTTTTGCTAAGAGGGGAGATTGTCTATTCCTGATTGCATGAAACATTTCGAAAAGTCTTACGGATGATCTTTGACGATTTGATGAAACATGGAGAGTTTTGTAATGAAATTTTCCGCTCGGACTATACTAAATCCATCCTTCTAAAACTTCATTTGTGATCGTACGCGGGGAAGAAGGACCTTATTCAATTCCAAAATTGAATTATTGAAACCAGAGCATAGGGGGATGTTTTATGATATTTTTGATCAGAAAAAATCCAAAAATGTTTAAGTAAAATTGAAGTTAAAACGGTTAGAAGTTTGCAGCTGAAAAAATATAGTGTGTAGGAAAAATCTTTTAATAGATCTTATCAGTCGAAAACTCGAGGAGACAAATTTACAAATCTGCCAAAAAATTAACGTTACATCTGATGGAACCCAGCAAGGTTTAAAAATAATTTTTTTTCTTATCACCGCAGAGCACTCTCCTGGAGTCCCGTCGAGATGATAACGCGGTGAGGGTGGAAGTGCGAAGCTCCTTCAAAGAGCGTGCCGCGGACGACAAAGGCCCGGAGGTAATGAGGCCACCAGCACAGTGGCAGCTCAAAAGGCACAAAGAGATATGTAATTAGATGATATCACGGGCCGTGAAATCCACCCTGCTTCATTGCCTCATGCCTGTTTACAATCCTCAAAGCTCCAACAGTTAATTTGCTAAGAGGAAAAATTAAAAGTGGCCGCCGATTTGGGTCTCAGCTGGGCGTCGTCAGCCCTTGATCAGAGGGAGGGTCCGGGAGAGGGAGCCGGGGAGGGTAAGGGTTGCTCCAAGAACGGCTGAGCCACCGAGCTCCTGTTCAAAGCTCAGACGATTATTATTGTTGCCATTCTCAACGATAACAACCCGATTTTTTTTTTTTTTTTTAAAGTTAAATCTATTTTATTTAAAAGTCTGCTGCGTATCAGCGTATCACAAAACTATCTTCAGAGACCTTCCCGTGCCTTCTTTTTGAGTGGATCTAAAGTAATGATAACTTAATATCAAAATCCTGTACATGTGCGAGATAAACTTCATTTTTCAATCAGGATCCGCTCCATTCTGAATCATCCTTAAAACTATCCATTTACATAAGAAAACTACTGGAAAGTTTAATGATTCTATAATACGTCAGAATTAAAATATTTATTTCCCTATCGCGGAATGTAGTCCAAATTACAATCATTTGTGGGGAACTCTAGAGTATTGACATTCCATAAAAAAATAGGCAGATGAAGGAGGGAGCAAAATTACATTAATTATTATTTTGAATAGAGATTTGAAAAAGTAGATTCTAACATGTAGCGATCAAATTTTGAGCGAATATTTCTCAGGCTACTAGGAAATTTAGAAGTGAACTAGCCCACCGGAACACTGTAAAATCCCCCCCCCCCAAAAAAAAATATAAATTAAAAACCCCTGATAGCCCCCTCTCCAAAAGCCAGTCCACCACTATATATGTGTTCATGCTAAAAAGAGCTAGGTGCAAATGAATTATAGCACACTGGAAAAAAAAAGTCGCTTGGATCTAGAGTCCAAACTCTCGAAAACAATGACAATAAAAAATACTCTTGATTCAATCGGATTTTTGCTTAAATCAATAGAAAATCCGCTCAAATTAAGAGGTTCGGTTTCTTGATTTAAGCAAAAATCCGATTGAATCAAGAGTATTTTTTCTTATCAATGTTTTTAAGAGTCATGGACTCTAGATCCGAGCGGTTTTTTTTCCCCGTGCAAAATGAGTACTGCACACAGGATTTACGTTATTATTTCATTGTTATCTCTTATTTATTTAGTTCACTTTTACTATAATTATTTTTAGCACACATAGGCGCGAAAAATGACCGGAATAGCAACTAGATTCCTGGTACTGACGTCACGTTGAAACTGCGATGAGGATTATCGTGGAGAAAAGGGTGGAGCGTTGGTGCGATGGTGGCTCAACGGGCGCTAAAGAAGGGGCGCCGGGCGCCCCACACAACTCGCCAGTAATCGGCCATTGTTCCAGCGCACTCAAGCCCCGCTCACACTGCTAATAATGAGCATCCAGGGATCAAATACGGCATCCGATCATCCGATCTACAGATGGTTATCGGCCACGCGACGCCTCTTCAGTTTGATTGTTCGAGTGCGTCTAAAGCTCCGTGGCTCAAATCGTCCGCGCTACCTGCTAATTGGCCCATAAGAGCCCTCGCTCAGATAAACCCGCCGCCCCACCCCGTGTCTCCTATTGAATCGGGGGCTACCACCCTCCTTGCTTTACTTTTTAATACCCTTAAAATATGTAAACGTGCATCATTCGTGCAACGTTATCTCTCGAACCATTTTCGAGCGATAATTGGACTAAATTTGAGGGGCTTGGAGGACAAGGCGTAAAAGCGCAGTTTTTGAAAAATTGAGGTATTAATGACTTCAACTAAAACTCTTCTTGATGCATATTCTGTGAAAACTACGCTCCAGAATTCCAATTTTTAAGCATCAAAAAGTCAGTTTGGACTTTCTGTCATCAGAATCAATGAAATTTGGAAACTTCAGAGGCGTATTTCTCGGAATAGGAAAAAATTGGCCTCCGGCCAATTTATGCGCGGCGCTTCGCGCCGCGTACCGGCGCTACGCGCCGGCATTTGGGGGGCTTCGCCCCCCCATCCGCTTAGCGGATTGGTGCGGGGACCGCACGNTTATTTCCCTATCGCGGAATGTAGTCCAAATTACAATAATTTGTGGGGAACTCTAGAGTATTGACATTCCATAAAAAAATAGGCAGATGAAGGAGGGAGCAAAATTACATTAATTATTATTTTGAATAGAGATTTGAAAAAGTAGATTCTAACATGTAGCGATCAAATTTTGAGCGAATATTCCTCAGGCTACTAGGAAATTTAGAAGTGAACTAGCCCACCGGGACACTGTAAAATCCCCCCCCCCAAAAAAAAAATATAAATTAAAAACCCCTGATAGCCCCCTCTCCAAAAGCCAGTCCACCACTATATACGTGTTCATGCTAAAGAGAGCTAGGTGCAAATGAATTATAGCACACTGGAAAAAAAAAAGTCGCTTGAATCTAGAGCCCAGACTCTTGAAATCATTGACAAGAAAAAATACTCTTGATTCAATCAGATTTTTGCTTAAATCAATAGGAAATCCGCTCAAATTAAGAGGTTTGGTTTCTTGATTTAAGCAAAAATCCGATTGAATCAAGAGTATTTTTTCTTATCAACGTTTTTAAGAGTCTAGACTCTAGATCCAAGCGGTTTTTCTCCCGTGCAAAATGAATACTACACACAGGATTTACGTAATTACTTCATTGTTATCTCTTATTTATTTCGTTCATTTTTACTATAATTATTTTTAGCACACATATGCGCGAAAAATGACCGGAATAGCAACTAGATTCCTGGTACTGACGTCACGTTGAAACTGCGATGAGGATTATCGTGGAGAAAAGGGTGGAGCGTTGGTGCGATGGTGGCTCGACGGGCGCTAAGGAGGGGGCGCCGGGCGCCCCACACAACTCGCGAGTAATCGGCCATTGTTCCAGCGCACTCAAGCCCCGCTCACACTGCTAATAATGAGCATCCAGGGATCAAATACGGCATCCGATCATCCGATCTACAGATGGTTATCGGCCACGCGACGCCTCTTCAGTTTGATTGTTCGAGTGCGTCTAAAGCTCCGTGGCTCAAATCGTCCGCGCTACCTGCTAATTGGCCCATAGGAGCCCTCGCTCAGATAAACCCGCCGCCCCGCCCCGTGTCTCCTATTGAATCGGGGGCTACCACCCTCCTTGCTTTACTTTTTAATACCCTCAAAATATGTAAACGTGCATCATTCGTGCAACGTTATCTCTCGAACCATTTTCGAGCGATAATTGGACTAAATTTGAAGGGCTTGAAGGACAAGGCGTAAAAGCGCAGTTTTTGAAAAATTGAGGTATTAATGACTTCAACTAAAACTCTTCTTGATGCATTTTCTGTGAAAACTACGCTCCAGAATTCCAATTTTTAAGCATCAACAAGTCAGTTTGGACTTACTGTCATAAGAATCCATGAAATTTCGAAACTTCAGAGGCGTATTTCTCGAAATGGGAAAAACTGCACTTGCGCGCCCTGTCTTGTGACTTGTGAGCCCCTCATTTTTCATCGCGGAACCACTATTTCTCATTCATTTTAGAAATAACGCATGTGCCCTCAGTTTGCCGATGCAGGTACGTTCTATTGTGAATGTGCTAAAAATAGTAGTCCATAATTATTTTCCGCAAAATTGAGGTCAATAATCGGTTCATTTGTAAAAAAAATTGGAAAGATGGATAATTTTGTTTAAATCATGAACGAATTTGACGCCTCCTCCACTTATTGAACCAGAGTGACCTCTGGCCAATCAGATTCCAGTGAGAATAAGCGCAAAAGTTCTAGCGACGTGATTTCTCACTACTTGTAAGATAAGCAAATAAGCCACAAATTAACTCAGTAAGAGCAATGGACCACAAACATTAGTAGATCAAGGACCCATCACTTGCGACTTTCCCTTCGACATCGTACCGCGTGCCTGTTCGCGATCGTTGCGCCGATAAGTCTAAAATGAGACATCTTCCTGATTGATATTCCAGCCGCTGGGTCACATCAGAAGGGGGGGGGGGCTTCTAGGAGGGTTAACTCCGATAAAATTGGCCCAATGGATGCGACCTGGGACGGTGTCATTAAATGACGCCTTTTATGACCGAACATTGAGCCGCGGAATCGACTTTTGCTCTCGCGCGTGTCGTTTCATGTTTATGGCGGAGCAATTTGTACCTGTCAGTGATCTCAAAAAGCGGACCCTACACCGTTAAGAACCGATTCCGGTCGCCCGACCACAGAGACGACCAGATCCAGAGCGATCATGATTCGCGCGTCTTTTACGCACAATTTTTGTCACCGTGTTCCTGGAAGTTTGAAAATAATCGGCTTGGTACAAAATTGAGACGCGGAGAGAGAAATCCCGTTTGAAGGAATAGAGAAGCGTGTATTTTGCGATGAGTCCATTGATCTGCCATTTAAGCCCATTGGAAAGGATCGATTACCATGGTTTTCGCAACGAGTGCCCATCTAATCGATTCTTTATCACAGCTTCGTACGGGAAAATATCGATAGCCGATGATTTATACTTCTCCTCCAAGCGACCGAAATATTTCCTTGCATTGGAATCATCTCTTGGACGAATTAAACTCTATTGGACAACCCGGAGTTTATCTCAAATAATTGAATTTTTCAAAAGATGACTGGAATTCTAAATGTTCCGGTGAAAGTACTGTTGTCCAATAAAAATTTTGATTCTATCAAGGAATAATATTGTGATCCAGTGCAATTTTTTATACACTCCGGTAACAAACTTTTCGCGCACTTTTCATGGCATCACGCTCCTTGAATTTATGAGCACTTGATTTCTTTAACGTGCTTAAGACACATAGAAGACATTCTATTGCCCAGATTAACCTCTACGCAACTATGTCAAATATCTGAGTTTTAGAATTCTGACGTTGGGTTTTTGCACGCAAATCGCATCACATGGATGAAGAATGGGAATTCAAAACCTGACAAGCGCCATCTAATGTGATCTAATATCATATCATCTAACGGGAATTTAGTGGTCTGTGCATACGTAACAATTCTCATGATGAAAATCTAACGACAATTTAAAGATCATTTTCCAATACTAAGTCGATGAAACACGACACCTGATGCCGCTTACGAGGTTTGGAATATCCATCTCTACTTTTCATTAAATTTTTGCGTGTGTAATTTTGTTTTATAATTTTTATTTTAAGCCACCTCTCTATGAGTGGCGTCGTCAAAAATTTTCATAGGGAGGAGGTCTATGATCAAACATTTCTCTTTCAAAGGCAGGATGGGCCCGAAGTTAAAATTTTCTTCAAAATTATGAAAAATAACCTGCTCTGCGACAATTTTCGGGTCCAGACCTAGATCTTCCAACTCCGGCGTATTTCACTGTTTCACATGACCTTAAAATTTCTAGTCGGAGTCAAATAATCTCCCGCACGGTGCGTGCAAGTGCAGACTACATCCGAGTCGGACCCCTCGGCGGATTTTGAAAACCACCGAGGATGAAAGGCTGAAAAGGGGGAGGATGTTTGCATCCCGCCACCTCAGCCCCTAAATTACGTCATCGGGGAGGGGGAGGGGGCTTCGCCAACGTAATCCGTTCATTCGCCACCGTGGCAACATTGAATAAATAGACATACACACCCTCAGCGCCCGCCTCTGCTCATCCCTTTTCAATAACCCCCCTTGCCGACGTTACGGGCGCTTTTTTTCAAGTATTGTATGTTCCGGTGTGCGGATCGCGGATTTCAACCCCTGCCCCCTCCCCCCTTTGCCGAGGTGCTCTGCGTTTCTTTTTCATGCTCTCTGGGCGCTCTGTTATCTGTCACGCTCCCTGTCCTCCGGAGTTGGCCTTGCCATTGTATCATGTGCCTTTTTGGTCTCTTGGATGAAAAAAAAAAAAAAAAATATAAAATCTTTTTTACGGGGTTTGATTCATTAGACCTCTAAATCGCTCCGAGGACTCAATCAACGCAGGAATGTTTCCTCCGTAGCCTTAAGTTGGGCGCCAGGATAGATTATTCGTCTTCGCGCAGGTTCACGTGTCCTTATTTCCTTCGCTGCCCCAAATTGATAAAAAAAAATAAAGGGATGGGAGAGTTATGTCTACTTTTAAGCGGTTTCCCCCTCCACCGCATTTCGCATTAAACCATTAAAAACCTCCATCATCAATAGAAGAAGAAAAAAGAATAAGGGATGCTCTCTTTCCCACTGTTACTAAAAGAGTCTTCCTGTCGCTTTACTTTTTTTTTTTTTTTTTTTTTTTTTTTTTTTTTTTTTTNTTTAATGACAGAAAATGAACATAATATATTCAAATTATATCAATCACTAAACTTTGAAAAAATATTATTGTTTGAATTGAGTATTGCGCATTGCTTGTATAGAAACGTAAAAAACTATAATCAAAAGTTCGCTCGATTCCTAGGTTTATCCATACCAATACCACTTCGGAGAGCATCACATCGTTTCAGGAGAAAAGTCGTTCGAGATGAGAGACGGATGATTTTCACTTCTACATCTTCGTCGGATTTACTTCTTTGGAGTGAATCTCATGCTCTTTTTCCGGAAATTTGAATTTTCTTATTTGTGTTTCACGCCGGTAATATGCTGAAGCTTAATGCCTCTTCATCTTTCATGGCATTTCCTGTGCTACTAGATTCAGTACCTAATCAACGGAATTTAATATGTTCACAGGTGTGGTTCAAGAACCGACGCGCCAAGTGCCGGCAGCAGCTGCAACAGTCATCAAGCTCGAGCAAGTCCCGAAGTCACCACTCATCGACATCGAGCTCGTCGGCAGCGAGCGAGCACCGCAACCTATCACACTCCTCGAGCGCCGCCTCCACGAACATGACCATCACGAGCACCGCCAGCAGCCTCATGAAGGCCACGCCGACGACCACCGGCACGGCGTCGGCCAAGTCCAAGGCCTCCTTTCGCGAGGGCGTCAAGGAGGAGTCACTCCCCCTGGGGCAACTAGCCCCCGGAGAAGACATGATGCCCAAGGCAGAGGAGAAGAACGTCAAGTCCTCGCCGCTCACTTTCCCCGGGGGCCTCGGGGGCATGACGTCACTTCCGGCCCCCGTCACCCCCGCCGGCTCGGCGCCCTCCTCCGTCATGACCACCCCCTCGCCACCGCTCACCCCCGGCTCCTCCTCGAACGGCTACCAGCACGAGCTCAACGCCTACTGCTGGGGCTCCCCGCCCACCTCGACGCCGCCCAACACCTACCACCACCAGAACTACCCGTACTATAGCAATATGCAGGAGTACTTCCCGCCGCCCCCATCCACGTCCCACCAGACGGCGGCGGCCCCCGGCTCCAAGTTCCACCACCACCACCACATGATGCCCTACAACTCCTACTCGCCGATCCCGGACCCCACCGGCCACTACCACCATCACCACCACCACCAGGGCTACGCCGCCCACGCCGCCGCCCACGCCCACGCCCACGCGCCCGCCCACGCAGGGCACCACATGCGCTTCGAACACGGCGAGCAGCACGAGTATCTCACCCCCGAGAAGTACCCCATACTTTAAGGCACTATGTGGCCCCCAAATCACTACGCTCTCGGGTTTTCACTGACCTCTTTATGGCGTGCCTAAAGCGTCCTTAGAGCGTCCAGTTGCTTTTGCACGGGTAAATTTTCCCTCCTCCTCCTCTAAATACAGTATAAATCAATGCGGGAGCACGTCTGAAACCAAATATTTTAAATTTCTCGAATTTCAGAACCTAAAAGCGTCTCCTTCGTCCGGTTGTGCACTGAAGTAAAGAGTCTTGGGAGCTCTCCACCGCTTCGAGTCAATTCAGTTGGACCTGCCGTGGCATCAAAATTTCTCGTGGAAAAAGTAAAATATCTGATTCCAAACGTCCATAGCATCACAACATAAAAGAAAAGTTAATCAGAGTGATGATCCGTTAAGCAGGACAGTTGAAAATTACGTCATTTGCTGTCAGGTATTTGTTGACTACAAATTTCTTTTTTTGAGTTTTCGGAAATTACTAAGACGTCATATTGAATGAGTTTATGGTGGTAGCTCAGAGATTAAGAAGACTATCTCATGTTACTTTGTAGTCAATTCAAGCCTTCTGACACTATGATAGAGTCACTGGGCTTATACTTTTATTGAAATTGTGGAACTAATGTACCCGGATACCCTGGCCGCATGAAGAAACATTACTAAGAATTCAAATTCAGCTCGTTATTGAGTGAATGAATTCGAGACCATTCCGATCTCTTTCAGTAGCTGTTTATAGACAACCTGATCTCAGTAAGGGGCAGATGCAATGTTTTGGTTTATCACGTTATCTGTTTTAGGGACAATATACGCAGTGAAATAAAAATCTCGTATGAGGTTGACAGGTCAATTTTTTGTCTTGAATTTTTACTAAAGCAATCTGCTTCTTAATTTCTTGGCTAATTAAATTATTTTACTTACGATCCTTCCAGAAGGTCAGTTCGAATCAATTTTCCTGCGACAGGTTGCAAAACTGCTACTTTTATTAATTCAAAGTTGCAGTTTTATAACAAAATGATCGGCTCATTTTATCTTCAGTCTTAAAATAAGTCTCGTAATTTTAGACTGAAATTGTGCGTGAATCCACGTTAAAGTCATAAATGTAGGTCACTTAAAAATAAATACGTAAAAAGTAAATAAATAATTGAATAACATAATAGATATAATAATGAGATCCAGTTTCACGGAAAAGAGCTGGCGATCTCTAAATGTGATAACTATTTAATAGTGATTAAATTATAATATGTAAATTGAGGATATAAATGAATAGTATGTATATTCACACATGTATAGAATATTTACATTTATAGTTTCCAAATTGTTTGTAGAAGTGCCAAATGGTTGTAAATAACTTTCACATTTCACGACTGTACGTTTTTATATCTCTTCTGTTAGCTAATTCCTATGGATAGCTCGCACCTAGTGCAAGGCCTCCTATGTATATTTACAGTTTCAGTCAGAAAATTGGAATTTATTTGAAAACACCGAATAATAAATATTGTGTAAAGAGTTTTTGCACCCAAACCTGCCATGAACTTGTCAAATCATTTAAAATGTGTTCAACATTCATCACCGCGAGAAATCATCTCATTATTTTTGTTCAAGTACCAACTTTTATTTTGTAAGAGCAAATCTCCCTTGGCGATTCCAAGATTGCACGTCACGTATATATTTATATGAGAAAATGGCTGGATTCCGCATGTATAAGACTTGCCACGAATCTGGATCATGGCGGCGAATAAACTGACCATTGTCGATTAAATCGTTTACTTTCAATATTTTAAAAAATGGTCATTCTGATGCTGCCATAAAAGTTATGTACAATTGAATGAAATAGAGATTAACTATGTTTAACCTATATTAATATTTTCAATAAAATGTTCGAATTTTATGACTAGTGTCTTAGAGGTAATAAATGTCCGGTATAAAAACTGCGGAAGCTCGAAGTTCTAACCCAATATTTGAAAAATTACAATTTTCCGGAGTATCGTTTTCAGTGTTTTTAAATATTTTCCATTCATCGTAATCGGCGTCTGAGCCAGGAAGTATATTTTTGGCTCACCTGTACTTACTTACGACCTATGATCTTGCCTCATCTTTCTTTCTTTCTTTAATATCATTAATTTTGTATTACTGTACATTCATAGATTTATTTGTCTAATTTTGAATTGAACCATTCTAAATTGTATAAGTGTTGTTTTCATGAATTCATTAGTCTTGTTTAAAATGATTCGCTAACCTACATCAATCGAAATGATGTTGGAGACTTGTGCTTAAATGCAGTGCAAGCATGTACAAACTGAACATAATGTGTAAAAATATATTTTATGAACCGTAATAATTTAGAGTACTCTCATTTCTATCTTATATCATATCACAGTTGCTCAATAACTCCAGAACACATTCCCACTGAAAACACATGCGAATGATTCTTCATTCTCTTTTTTACAATATCATTCTCTATTTGGATCGAGTTAGTCAGAAAGGTTCCAACCCACATTAAGTTGAAACTGAGAAAAATTGGATTGAAATTTTATATCTAAATAGGAATCTAAGTAGAAACAAAAGCATAACCCCTCTTTTCACAGACTAATTTTTTTTTCGGCTTTGAGTTTTTGGCAAGAGAAAATGCACGACTAGTGGAACACAAAAAATTATTAACTCAATTTGTTCGAAAATGTAGGTTGGTTCCTTTCTGATAAACTTGGCTCATTTCTGCTCTGAAATCAGGAGATAAAAATGTTTAGTGCCGTTGATACATAAAATGTGACTCTAAAATATAATTACGGTACATGCGTATAGTTTCAACTGTTACCGGTAAAATTCCGATCAGGGCCATTTCAGCATTACATGAAACACCTTCAGGAGGGAAGTCTATAGCTGCCTCAGTGATGAAATTTAAAGAAAGATAGGAGGTTGAGAGGTAGGTCGACAGGCCCTCACAAGGGGTGAAAAATTGTCAACTTTGCACAAACCCCATAAGTAATACTTGCACGTTCGCATAAAGAGCAAGACCCAGGTTTGAAGAGTAAAATATCAAAATATTTTAGAGGAACAACCCGTAAGTTTTATATTTATTATGAACGAAACGCCTGATTCTCAACCTAAGAAAGACTTAATAACCTGACTCTCTTTTACCCTTACGATTTAGTTAAAATATGATTCTGCAGAGACTGACTGTTCAAATTGGGTTCGTCTGGGGCCTGGGTTAACACCCTCCAGGACTATAACGGGAATACAGTCAATACTTTATATTTTTGAATCAGACTATTATTTTATACAAATTGCTCAATTGAAGAAGACTATCCTTTATATATAACACGATAAAAAACAGTTAGAACAAGGATGAATAAAACATCGTGTAACTATTAGAATGAGTTCTCAAGTTTTCAGTTTCGCCACTCAGGGCTTTTATGAATTATTGATAGATAGTTTTATATTCGAGAATGCGTGGAAGTCACGGCCTCAAATGAGACAAGTATTCTCTCTAGACCTTGGACTTTAAGCTTTAATTACGTAAAACTAAACACATCACACACTCCAGACGGGAAAAACTAACAATATCATTTCAATAACAAGTTTGTCTTGAATAGTGAAGACTCAATGGACTGCATTTTGCAATTTAGAACTACGATGTCTGGCTTAGTTTAAAAACGACGCATGAATCATTTGCTGCCCCATGCACATGATTGCTTATACGGATGGGCTGGAAATTGTAGTTCCTAATTGCAAAATGTAGTTCATGTCATAGTCATCATCGATCAGCATGGGATCAGAGAGGAATGAAGCATCGCACTGTTCTTTCCTCATCAATACTTCACGTGAAAAACTATGAAAAAAATGCGAATGAAACCAACTGATGAAAAAATCTCGATCCTGGATCGGGTAAAAATCGTGTTGAACGAATCATACTTTCTCCGTGAATGCCGGTATGCTAACAGAGAAAACGAACAAGACGTTTGGAAAACTTGTTGGGCCGGAGATAGAGGTCTGCTGTAAGAAATCGTAGAGCAGCTGCTTGGAAAATATTTTTTAATTTTGTAATTAAAAACTCGCGTTTTAAGTAGCTCTGATTTTTTTTTCTCAAATGATACACCGGAGATCACTTTTGCACCATTGGTGATTCACATTCTAAAATTAATGTTCCAGTTGAGTTTTCTGATTAAAAATGTAGAGGAAGCAGAATGAATACAAAGGCAGTATGAAAATTGAGCACACCGATACTTTGCCGTCAACTTTTGATGATAAATCTAAGAATATGAAATAAGAATACTGTCTAAATTTCTTTTGGAGAGACGTTACTTGCATCTCTAGAACTGAAATGTTCAGTGTTTGAATTCATCAGTATATTTCACGGCTTTCATCAAAAGTATAGGTACATGGTGGCGCATACAAATCCAGAAATTCAGCACTAAAATTTTTAACAGTTACTTTTGTAATTGAAATGACTGTACAATTTGATGATTCATTTTGCCAAGATTGATACCATAAAATTGGCAGTAGGAATGATATCTGATGGAAAAGTTCCCCTGCATGCACAAACCTAGTTTGAAACACAAGAACCAGCCGGATCATGTTGAAATCGAGCAAAGAAGTGTTGACATTGTCTTCCCCCTGAAAATCAAAGTGAAAAGTAAATCTGGAGCCCTACTTTTACAAACTAAATATTTTGAGCTCAACATACAATAAGTATGCACATATACAAGCACATATATCTGCATTTTTGACTCAAGAGAACAATACGATTACAGTGCAATGTTTTACTTTTAAATGTAATATTTTTTCATAACTTTGAATGGTTTTTCTTTGATTACGTTGGTCCATTATTTTCTGAAAATTCAGTTTGTGAAACAAAGCCGAAGCGCTGTCCTAAATGTATGCGTTGCAGTGTTTAACCAATATTGCCCTGCAATGTGAATAGAAAATGAAGCTAAAATATCAGAGAGCAGCTACTTAAATGCATGTGTAGGAAGCATATTTTTGCGTCTTAATCAAATAACAGAAGCATTATACAAATTATGACATTCTACTTTTTCATTTTTAGATTTTGTTTGTTTTTTATTTTCTTCTTTATATTTAGAATCTGATTTTATGCAATTGAGTGCTGAAAAAATGATATAGGATCAAATGTCAAAATATTAAGAATTTTCCACTTCAAGAAGGTCAATTCAATTCGAAATTAAATAAATTTAACAGATGAAGAAGAATGAAAACAAAATATGGTCTAAATGTTTTTCTTTTACAACGATAAAGATCATGTGCAGGTGGATGCATAGGATTTAACTACTTTCTTCGGTTTCGGTATCCTACATGAACATATATTTCACCTATTTAAACTGGTTCTGGCTCCTCGAATTGAGGGATTTTCTGCAGACTTTAAGCTGCGAAAGAATTTATCTGCCCATAAATCATCGGGGAATTTTCGAGCTTAATCCATCACTTATTTTTTGAACGGTACATAAACCATGGTTACAGTTGGAGCATGGCCGTTACCGCAACTTTTCTTAAATATTTTCGAACGCTTACACATATAATCTATGATGAAGCGTGCTATTTTGGATAATGTCTTGCACTTGAATCTTCTTGCTGCTGATTGGAAGTACATATGTCGATGATATGGGTATTTATGAGCAGATTGGCATAATGAGACAGCTATCATATTGATATTCTAATATTACGCTGCAAAGTGCCTCTGGTTTGGAAAACAGACGCAGAGTTGCCACGAAGATTCAGTGAGCGGCATTTGGCATACCGTAGCTTTGCATCACGCGCATGTAATAATTCAAGGCAAATGATACCGTCTATGGAATGATGATCCATACTGAGATTACAAAATTAGGATACGGATGCAATCGTTTAGATTTTTTTTTTTTTCTTGGAAAAAATCATCCCAAAATTTTGAGCGTGATTGGTGTTTTGATAGTTTGAATTTTTTAATTACAAAAAAAAAAAAAAAAAAAAAAAAAAAAAAAAATTGTAAATGCTTTGTGCTGACAACGTTCAAGCCGTTATTACATTTTATGAGGCAACTCCTGTTTTTGAGCCTCTTGAGCTTAAAAGTATAATATTAAAATGTGTCCTTAAGCTTTATATTGTTTAAAGAAAATTAAGAAAAAGAAAATAACAAAGAGTTTCTTCTCAATTGATTCCATATTTGGCATTCGGAACATTCGGTCGTTGCCACTGTTTGGTCCTTTGTGTCATCATTGCACCTGAACATGAACTTCGTCAAACTTACTGGATTTATTGTGTTGTTTTACATCGTCAAATTTGGGAAAACACGCTCATTGACACCCCCCTGTGCCTGAAAAAAGGAGGAAGAACAAGGGAAGAAAGAAAGAAAGAAGGAAGGAACGGAGAACAGAAGATAAAAGGACGCTTATAATTAGTAATTATTCATGACGAAATTGACTCCAACTGCATACTCAATAATTTCGAAAATTTCAAAATTTTCTGGGGGAGCCCCTGACCTATCAATACGCCCCTCACCCCCGTTTGAAGTGTCTGGGTCCGCCTATGTCTTGACTCTTGAAGCTTCCGATTTTCTTCAAACAAACCTTTCAAATATCGATAAGATATACAACTTAATTGCACACGGATGAAAGATGAAAGCTCACCGACGCGACACGGTTAGGAGGAGGAAGGAAGCTGACAGAGGTTGTGGGTGCTCTCTCGCGGAGCGGAAACCGATTCGATTTCCTTTCACTCAGCTCCGCATCATTCGATTTATTCCCTCAATTACTCTCTGCCCTTAACGCGCCCGCCCATTCTTTCACCGCCAATTTATGAGATTTATCACGATCCAAATTATGTCCTCTAACGAAAGGGCTTATCTCAGTTCCTACGTGATCTACTCTGCCGTACTTATGGAAAATGCCGTATGAGCCTTCAGGAATTGCCGAGTTTCCTTTGACAAATGACAGATTTTTAGGGAAAGTTGTGAATATTTTTGTTTCGATTTTTCGGAGGATCTTGTTCGAACTTATTGCTAAAAAGTCTAAAATTTGCAGGAACAAATATTCAAAACTTTCTTCAACAATAAATATTTCCTGAGAGGGAATTTGGCTAAAGAATGCTCACACGGCGTTTCTCCATAGCATGGCCTCTTCTCCGTATACATCTATGCAAGGGGAAATAAAGATACGCCCTTACGTCAGAAGAACGAAAATATCTGCGTAGGTCTAACCTAAGATATAACCTAACGTATCTCAGAGCACGTTCGTCCCGCTGGCTTTTTTTAGCAATAAATTCGCTGAAAGAAGCCGCCTGACTGTGTGAAGGGTGATACCACTATACGACCTCATGAGGGCTCGTTTTGCCTACACTAAAAGTTGAAGG